AAAATTTTAAATCAGGGGCCAGCATTTTGGCGTAGCTGGTAAAGTCACTGTCTGCAACATCAGCATCCCATGTGGCTACCAGTTTGTGTCCCAGTTGTTCCATTTCCAATCTAGTTCTCTGCTATAGCCTGGGAAAGCACTTGGGCCCCTGCCCACCCACATGGGACACACAGATGAAGCTCCTTGCTCCTGGTTTGGCCGGGCCCAGCTCTGTCCAATGCACCCAACTGTGGAATTAAACAGTGGATAGAAAATCTGTCTCTATCCCTCTCTCTCTAAACCTAAATTTATTTATAAATAAATAAATGAACCTTTGGGGCCAGCACTGTGGCACAGTAGGCTAAGCCTCTGTCTACAGTGTCCGCATCCCATATGGGGGATGGTTCATGTCCCGGCTGTTCCTCTTCCAATCTAGGTCTCTGCGTATAGCCTGGGAAAGTAATGGAAAATGGCCCAAGTGCTTTGGCCCCTACACCCATGTGCAAGACCCAGAAGAGACTCCTGGCTCCTGGTTTTGGATTGCCCCAGTTCCAGCCATTGCAGCCATTTGAGGAGTGAACAAGCAGATGGAAGACCTTTCTCTCTGTCTCTCACTCTGTCTGCAACTCTGCCCCTCAAATAAATAAATAAATAAAATCTTAAAAAAAAAAACTCTCTGTAAGTGAAGAGTTAGAAAAAAGCAGAGGAAACTCTACCCTAAATGGAGCAATACAGTGGAGGGCGAGGATGCCCACAATTTAGGACCCCACCAGCCGAGAGCCTCCAAACTAGCATTGAAGAGTAAGGTGGGACCAGACTACAGCAGCCCAGGCCACTGGAAAAAGGCTACAGAAAGAGCCTAGAGGGAATCTGGCTTGGAGCCTCATGGGAGATAGTATACCCGCCAAACTAGAGGAGAAAAAACAAAGTGAGGGGCACTTTTTCTCTCTCCTGGATCATCCTGCAAAAGCATCCTGTAACAAGCTGACAGAGAGCAGGCACCATTTTGGACATACAAAACAGCTGTACCAGCTAGTGTCCGCACCCAGCAACCAGCCAAGCAGTGATTCCTAAGTCTGGTGGGGAGAACACGCAGGGGGCTGGGGGCTCATGACTGTGGGAGGCTTGTGTGCCAGGGCTGTAAACACAGTAAGTCTGTGTGGGAGGATGCAGGGTGTGGCTAGGACTTTGAGCAGGCAATGTGGGAGGCTCCACATTATCAGGGCTTCCTGGTTACCTGGTGAAGGGCATTTCTGGGGATCTGAGCTTACACTGAGGACTGCACAGATCCTTCGTGGCAGAGCAGATGATTAATATACTCATTGCAGCTAGTGTCCAGGCACTGGTCTCCTTTGAGGAGAGGAGCTCAGCTGAGGCTACACCAACAGACAAGAAGAAACCTCTCCTCAGGTTAAAAAAGAAGAAAAAAAGAAAAAGGAGATTTACCGCCAAACCTGGGTAAGTTACCTCAGATACGCCCTTCACCCTGGAGCACTGAAGAGAGCTCCCTGGCAATACCCAACACATGACTCCAGGTATTCCCTGAAAGCAGACACTGCACTAATCCACTCAGACATAGTCCAAAGATAAAAGCCACCACAGTGAAAAAAAAATATAAGAAGAAGAAGAAACCAATGAGTATCTCCACAAATGCTGAATAACAAATGTACTAGTTCAAGAAACAAGAATAAGAAAGATAACATGATACAGCCAAAAGAACACAACACTTCAATAGTAGATTGTGAAGATGATAAGACTGAAGAAATGCCTGAAATGGAATTCAAAAAATTGATCAAAGGATTACTTAGAAGTAATCAAAAGCAAATGCATGAATTAATGATATCCATACATAACATGAAAGAAAATTTCTCCCACGAAATTGAGATCTTAAAGAGAAATCAAAATGAAATCGTGGAAATGAAGAATTCAAGAGAACAATTGAAAAATAAAGTAGAAAGCCTTGACAACAAAATCAGTGAAGCAGCAGAAAGAATATCCTACTTAGAAGACAAGCACAGGAAATTATGTAGTCATACCAAACACAAGAAAATATTAGAAAACTGAAAAATACTGTTGGGAATCTACAAGATACTATCAAACGACCCAACATACGAGTTCTAGAAGTTCCTGAAGGCATAGAAAGAGAGAAAGGATTAGAAGGCCTTTTTAGTGAAATAATAACAGAAAAATTTCCCCAATTTGGAGAAAAAAACGGATAACCAAGTACAGGAAGCACACAGAACTCCTAATAGACATGAACAGAAAAGATAAAAATGGAAAAATCTTCCATGTTCATGAATTGGAAAAATTAATATCATCAAAATGTACATTCTTCCAAAAGCAATTTACAGATTCAGTGTGATACCAATCAAAATATCAAAGACATTCTTCTCAGATATAGAAAAAAATGATGCTGAAATTCATATGGAAACACAGGAGACCTCGAATAATTAGTCTCATACAACAAAAACAAAGCCAGAGGCATCACAATACCAGATTAAAGACATACTACAGGGCAATTATAATCAAAACATCCTGGTACTAGTACAAAAACAGCTGGACAGACCAATGGAGCAGAATAGAAACACCAGAAATAAATCCAAGCATCTACAACGAACTTATATTTGACCAAGGAGCTAAAATCAATCATTACAGCAAGGACAGTCTCTTCAACAAATGGTGCTGGGAAAAGTAGATTTCCATATGCAAAAGTAAGAAGTAGGATCTTTACCTTACACCTTACACAAAAATCTATTCAAAATGGATTAAAGACCTAAATCTACGACCTGATACCATCAAATTATTAGAGAACATTTGGGAAATTCTGCAAGACATTGGCAAAGGCAAAAAGTTCTTGGGAAAAAAAACAGAGGCACAGGCAATCAAAGCTAAAATTCACAAATGGGATTTACATCAAATCGAGAAGTTTCTCTATGGTCAAACACTCAGCAAAGTGAAGAGGCAACCAACAGAATGGGAAAAAACATTTGCAAACTATGCAACAGATAAAGGATTAATAACCAGAATCTACAAAGAGATCAAGAAACTCCACAACAACAAAACAAACAACCCAGTGAAGAAAGGGGCAAAGGACTTACACAGACACTCTTCAAAAGAGGAAATCCAAATGGCCAACAGACACACGAAAAAATGTTCAGGATCACTAGCCATCAGGGAAATGCAAATCAAAACCACAATGAGGTTTCACCTTATCCCAGTTAAAATGGCTCACATACAGAAATCAATAAACAACAAATGCTAGCGAGGATGTGGGGAAAAAGAGACACTAACCCACTGTTGGTGGGAATGTAAGCTGGTAAAACCACTATGGACGTCATTTTGGACATACCTCAGAAATCTGAATACAGACTGTCGCTCCCCCTCTTCGTGGAGGAACGACACTAAACCCTGCCTAGGCTTCCTATCCGAGTCACGGCACCATTATGTCGC